CTCTCTCTCTCTCTCTCTCTCTCTCTCTCTCTCTCTCTCTCTCTCTCTCTCACACACACACACACACACACACACACACACACACACACACACACACACACCTAAGCGGAAGTTGTGGTGATAATTTGTAACACACCCCTAAGCGCTCAAGCTATTCATTACCACCTCGCTCTCTCCCTCTCTCTCACACACACACACACACACACACACACACACACACACACACACACACACACACACATACGACAACACACACCGACAGGTAAAAAAAAAAAGAAAAAGTGCGCTGGAGGGCCCCGGCCCCCAACCGGGTGCCCCACCCAGCCTGGCCACCCGGAGCCTCCCCCGGGCCCCTGCCGGTCACCCAGGCGGCCCGGATCCCCACTCAGGTTATCCACTCAATTAAGAAAGAGGGGGAAAAAAAGAGCTTCCCAGAATGGAAAGGACTCAAAAGGAGCCATAGCCATGCGGCCTATGTTGGGTTTTCTTGAAATGTCTTCTCTGAAAAAAAAAAACGAAAAGAAACGAAGAACGAAGGAGAATGGAGTAGAAAAGTGGAAAGGCATCAGCTCTAGGGCATACGCACACTAGGACTTTTTCAACTAAGCTCTGGACGTTATTGCGGTCAGATTCATCCAGGTCTGCCCATAATTGCGATCAGATGCTTTGGGGAAAGTAGTAGTGTGAGTATGCCCTTAGTAGTATGTATTGGTGGGCAGTTGGGCAAAGACTTTTCTGGGCTACGTTCTTGGTTAGCGAAGAGCAAAGAAGTGGGATTTAAAGTTTAAACCAAAAAAAAGGCAGAATCTGAATTACTATTACATACTGCCATGTTGTGCTTCTGCTTACAAATGAGGATAAAAAATTTCGTATTTCAAACTCCAGACACTGATAGAGAGGATGACGAAGAGGAGGAAGATGAGAGCAGCAGGCATATGGATTCCGCTGAAAAGCGGGCATGCGAAGACATCTCTTATGAGGTTGATGATGAGGGTGACATTGTGGTTACTCGCCGCCCAACGCGAGGGACGATTGCATCAAACATAGGCACACGTGAGTTCCGTTCCCATCTCCTGCTTTATAATTTGTCTTTTTTTTCCTTCCCCCTTCTTTTCGTCTTTGTTGTGTTCTGTATAACTTTGTGAGCACAATAAAAAAAATATAGTAAAATACTAAATTTAGTACGCCAGAACCCGCAGTTTTGCAGCACCCGTATGTATACCATATCTATAAATAGTCGGTGTTTTGTTAATTGCTTGCTTGTCCATTCGACTTTTCTGTAATTGACCCTGAAAGACTTTTGTACGCCAGTGCGTGCCATTGGGGCGTACCTACGAATAAAGATCTGGCAAATGTATGGCCAATCCGGTAGGCTTAAACCACCAGTACATGGCCCAGCTATCGGCCGCGGGAAAAAAATAGAGTAGAAACATTTTTAGTCCGATGAATTTGGGCGCTCTTGTAGTGGCCCGTACGTTTCCTAAAATTGTGGCTTGTTTACGGGCACGGATTTAGGATGTACTGGTGGTTTAAGAGTTGACTGCAGGGTTCGTTGAACCTTCAAGTACTTCGGCCTATTTGTATGTTAGTAAGTTGGTCTACCTTCTTCCCCTGTATATAATGTACGGTAATTATAGGCTTTTTTATAGCTGTATTTAGACTGAAAGATACCCCAAATTAAGCTATAATGACCGTGCGTTGTGTTCGGGGCAAGACTGTAGTATTCAAAACTACAAGAAAGAGTACATGATAGCTTTTTCAGTTGTGGAAGTCTTCATGATTGCTGTATTTTGCATGCTAGATCTTCTGCTTTTTTTTGTGTTCTTTGAAAGTGTTTTAATCCCTATGTTTATTATTATAGGGGGATGGGGTTCTAGACAGAGAAAAATAGGAGGAGTGTATCTGAAAAGCGGAAAGATGTGCGGTACCAGCCTCGGTGAATCGCGACTCGGCCTCATTGAATAACAATCCTTGGGCGCAGCCTTTGACTTGAGCGGGCCCAGAGGTGGATGGAGTGGTACATTGGCAAATTACTAAGTCAACAGGCCAGTCCACACCGGATAGATACACACTGGACGGGATGCCACTATTCTGCTCAAAGGGGTGGCAGTGCAGCACTCTTCTGCGATAACACGAGCAGCACTAATCTGCGCCAATCACCACCAATCACCGTTAGCACCGTGACGGTTTCCGGAGAAGAAGACACCCCGCGTTGCATACTAGTGAAAGTGAACGCAAGTATGACGCAGAACCGAGAACCGACCATTACAAAGAGCAATATGATGCAGCGGAAGACTTGAAAACATGGATCTGTCTCACATCTGACTCGGACTATACACAGGCTCACACACATGCATTCATCGGGTGAGAAGGCCTGGCGTTCAAACATAGAAGATGCGCCAGGGCCTGTACACAACACACACGGATGAATGGAGGGGGAAGAGACCAAGGGAGGAGGAGGAGATGGCGCCAACACAAAGTCCCCAAAATAGTTATCCGAAATGTCGGAGATACAGAATTCTCGGAATGTCGAAGTTACAGAATCTCGAAATGCCATTGGTAACAGATCTCCGAACAGTCCTCCCAACATCCTACTCTGCAAATAGTTTCAGTCTTGATGTCACCGATATCTCACCATCGATCCCTGTCCCATAGTAACCGAGAAGGTGGAAGGTTGGAAGAAGAAGAAGAAGAAGAAGGATCGAGAGGGGCAGAGGAGAAGGTGGAGATTGAGAGGTGGGGCGGAGGAAGATCCTCCTGCCCTGATCCAGTGTCCAGGCACCAACCTGCAGGTGCAAGGTGCCGCCTTGGAGCTGTTGAAGACTCACCCTTGCTGCTGGAGCTATGGCGCTCACAGGTAAGTGCCAGGTAAGTCGCTACTTTCTCTCTCTCGCCTCTACAGCTAGCTCTAAACCCAGCGCAGAGCGCTGCTGCCTGGAGCTGCGCTAACCGAAATAGCGCAGCGCTGCTTCCTCAATGCCGCGCCTCCGAGTCTGTCCCGAATAGACCGCTGGCCGGTCCTAAGTACCGGCGGTGGCCTATTCGGCCTGGCTGCTGGTCAAGCCGAGCCGTGATCTGGACTGTTCCGGTTGATCGGCGGTTCAGATCAGACCCGCGGGAAGTGGCAGCCTCAATCCTCGGCCGCCAGTCTCAAACGAAAACCGTTTGGGCCGGTTTCCCACTCACTGTCTGCAGTTGCAGGCCCGGTCTAAAACCGGTTTGCTGGGCCTACTGTCGGCCTTTCCAAAGGTCCGGCCCTTAACCCAGGCCGGACTGGCACAGCATGGCCACGGTCTGGGATACCCCCCTATACCTAGCTCTTGGGCCTAACAGGGCCCGTGTGGATCCAGTATGTAACACCCAGGCTTGTTTGCTGCTGCGTGTGGCTATGGTGGCAAGGTGTAGTAGTGCCGACCCCATGCTTGCTTGCTTGTTCCTGCATGTGGCTATGGTGGTAGGGTGTAGTGGCATGCAAATATATCGGTAGAGTGTCAATCAGTGGGAGGCTACGGTGAGATGACGAGATAGATAAATAGATAGATAGATAGATAAGAGAGGGAGGGGGAGAGAGAGAGAGAGAGGGAGAGAGAGAGAGAGAGAGAGAGAGAGAGAGAGAGAGAGA